TAGATGTGAAAGTTTGTGTTCAAACGAGGGATTGTAATAGGTTTTCTTATATTCTAGAATATACTAAAACAAAAGTGATTCTGATGGAGAAGTTCACAATGGAGTCAGAGTGTTCATCGAAAAGAAGCACAGCTAACACTTTTAGGAACAGAACTGATCTAAGTTGAAGAGTTTGTGTTCAATAATCCCAACAAGAAAGAAATTTGTAGCTGTGGAGAAAACTTTAATATTTGAAACCTCAGGACTAGTCTTGTTGTAAGCTCCTGGAGGCCGGTGGAAGTCTTCAGGCTTACTGAAAAAATCATGGGACTGTTATATGCTTAAGGTTTATAATGTATAGCTGCCTTATGAAGAAAATACAGTGATGCATTTTGAAAATGAAGCCATTACGTTAGAGTCAAGAAATGTTATTTGTATTCTTTTTAGGGGACAGTAAATGAGAAGCCATCACTTTTTGGGGGTCATTTTTCTATTTTTCCTTTCCTTTTAAAAAATTAATGTATAATTAGCATACAGTATTTATTAGTTTTAGATGTACAATATATAATTAAACAATTCTAGACATTTCTTAGTGCTCAAGATAATTGTACTCCAAATCCCCTTCACCTATTTCACTCACCTGCTCCACTCATTTTTTCTATTCTTTAAGGGAAAAAATCCTACTCTGTACTTAACTCTCTTGCATCTTTTCTGTTAGAACTAATTCCATTGAAGTTGTCTTTTTTTTTTTTTTTAATGTTTTATTTATTTCTAGGAGACAGAGAGAGACAGTGTGAGCAGGGGAGGGTCAGAGAGAGAGGGAGTCACAGACTGAAACAAGCTCCAGGCTCTGAGCTGGCAGTCAGCACAGAGCCCGATGCGGGGCTCGAACCCACGAACCGCGAGATCATGACCTAAGCGAAAGTCGGACGCTTAACCGACTAAGCCACCCAGGCGCCCCAAGAAGTTGTCTTTCTGAGAGGATCTTGGGAAATGTATTCTTAATAAGTGTGCAGTCATTAGATCTCTGTTGAATGGCCTGAAAATGCAAATCCATTGGCATTTTTTGACCAATTGATGGCTCCTACAATTTAGAGGTAGGATGTCCTGACTTTTAATCATTAAAAAAATTTTTTTACTGCTCACAAGTTTATATTTTTAGGTTTCATAAAGATTCTTGTATATTTATAAATACACAGACAAGACAGTTTTGGAAGTTTACATACATGTCCTAGGACACTTATAATAGGTAGGTAAATTACCTTAAAAAGATTAGTCTTCATAAAAGATCTTCCGAAAGAGCATTAATTTTTTTGAAAAAATTTAGAAAAACTTTTTTTTAACGTTTATTTATCATTGAGAGACAGAGCATGATCATGGGAGGGGCAGAGAGAAGGGAGACACAGAATTTGAAGGAGGCTCGGGGCTCTGAGCTGTCAGCACAGAACCCAATGTGGGGCTTGAACTCACAAACCGTGAGATCATGACTTGAGCTGAAGTCAGATGCTTAAACGATTAAGCCACCCAGGCGCCCCATTAATCTTTTTTTAAAAAAGTTTTTATTTAAATTGCAGATGGCATTAGGGGTGCCTGGTGGTTCAGTTGGTTAAACACCTGACTCGTGATTTTGGCTCAGGTCATGATCTCACAGTTTGTGAGTTCCAGCCCCACATTGGGCTCTGTGCTAACAGTGTAGAGCCTGCTTGGGATTTTGTGTCTCCTTAACTCTTTACCCATCCCCTACTCTCTCTCTCTCTCTCAAAAATAAATAAGTAAACATTAAAAAAATATAAATTCCAAATAGCATTAATCTTTTCTCCCTGTCTTTACTGTGGCTATCTTAAGTTCTCTTAGTCTTTCTTTTTTTTTTTTAATGTTTTTTTTTATTTTTTATTTTTTATTTTTAGGAGAGAGAGAGAGACAGCGTGAGCAGGGGAGGGTCAGGGAGAGAGGGAGTCACAGACTGAAACAGGCTCCAGGCTCTGAGCTGGCAGTCAGCACAGAGCCCTATGCGGGGCTCGAACCCACGAACCACGAGATCATGACCTAAGCAAAAGTCGGACGCTTAAGCGACTAAGCCACCCAGGCGCCCCTTTTTAATTTTTTTTTTAATGGTTTTTTTTTTTAATTTATTTTTAGGAGAGAGAGAGGTAAGTTCTCTTAGTCTTTCAATAGGATTTCAGCTATACCTATTTTTTTATTTTGATGTTTATAATTTATTTAGTAATTCTATAATGATTGCTTAGTACTCACTTGGTTTTTTTAGTTAGACAATTTCCCTTATTTTATTTTATTTAAAAATTTAATTATTTATTTTTAAATTTTATTATTTTTTTTGTAGTTTCAGGTTTTAATTTATATTTAAAAAATTTTTTTAAATTTATTTTGAGAGAGAGTCCATGAGAGGGGGACAGGCAGAGGAGAGGGAGAGAAAGAATCTTAAGTCTGGATCCAGGCTCCATCTCAGGACTGTGAGATCATGGCATGAGCTGAAAATAAGAGTCAGATGTCAGAACCTGACTGAGCCAGCCAGACTCCCCTCAAGTTTTTATTTAAACTCCAGTTAGTTAACAAATAGTGTAATATTACTTTCAAGAGTAGAATTTAGTGATTCATCACTTCCATACAACACCTAGTGCCCATCACAAGTGCCCTCCTTAATCTCCATCACCCATTTAGCCCACTCTCCCAACCTCCCTTCCAGCAACCTTTAGAATCTACTTCATGGTTTGTCGTTCCCTCTTTTTTCAATTTTTTTTTTTTTAGGTTTTATTTATTTTTGACAGAGAGACAGAGCATGAGTGGGGGAGGGGCAGAGAGAGGGGGAGATCCAGAATCTGAAGCAGGTTCTAGGCTATGAGCTGTCAGCAAAGAGCCCAATGAGGCTTGAACTCACAAACTGTGAGATTATGACCTGAGCCGAAATGAGATGCTTAACTGACTGAGCAACCCAGGCGCTCCTGTCTATTTTAATACTACCATGTTATGCTACCTTCTCATTTTGAGATCTAGCTTTATTGAATCCATTAAAGTTGCTCTGTAATATGACTTAATTGTCAAGTACTTCCTTTTGGTTGTTCCTTAGGTTAAACTGACTATGCTACTACAAGACGGGGTTATTTGTTTTTTGCATGCTATCTTCTTTCCATTCCAATCACTTTCCTTCTTATTTTTCTTTTGCTATTTTTCTCTGCTGTGCTAATACTAGAATTGTTGCCATATCCTTTCTTTTCATTTTGCATATACTCCAGCAGTCATGTTCAGATTTTCATTTTATTCTCAGGATTTAATGTAACAACATTTAGTTGCTCTTTTGATAGCATCTCAGACCAGTTAGCTTTCCTCAGTGAGATGCATTTGAAGAAAACTGTTCTACTCACTTCTATTGTAAGATGAGGCTGTGGTGAGATGTTATATAGTCTTTGTTATATGTGAGCCCTGCTCTCATATCTGAGGTTTGGTTGAATGACCCAACAGGGTTCATTGCTCTACTTAAGTAGAATGAACTCCAGTAAAGACATTTAACCAAACCACAGATCTGTGAATGGGATGGTTTTCTTGGGCTTCCCATCAGACCTTCAATTCTGTCCATAGCTAGCTCTGAGGTTTTTATTTTATTAATAAGTGATTCCTATTGTTCATTTCTCCTGTTTTATCAGATTTCTCCCCAGCAGTTGTTTCTACATCTTCTTAGTAAACAAGGAGTGAGAGAGAGAAAAGTTATCTATTCAATTTGCTGCATTCCAGATCTGGGCATTTTACCAGTTTAGTTTCTGAGGGAAGAGAAAGGCTTAGAGGACTGTAGCTCTTCTGTACTACCATTTCTACTCTAAAATCTTTGATTTCCTTGATTGTCCCCTTTAAACATTTCTGGCAGTAGGTTGGCCTCCTTTTACTATGTGATTGGTGCTGAAATTTCCTTTGCTGTTTTTTTTTTTACTTTTTTGTTCTTGTTCACTTTGTTAGGTATTGGAGGAAAGAAAAACTAGACAGATTTTGGTTTCCTCATCATCTCAAACCGGAATCCTCTGGACCGGTTTGGATAGTATTAAAATAAATTGAGGATTTGAAAGAACTTACTCCTAAAACTCTCTGTGCCTGTCATCTTTTGTTAGAGTGATAGATGGTGGTGGACAGTTGATAGATGCAATTATTTGATAGATTTTTTCAACTATTATTACTGGTCTCTTGATTTTTTTTCACTTCTTCTTGGCTCAACATAGGTAATTTATTTCTTTTACCCTGGAAAAAGGTTCATTTTATTAAAATATTTAACAACTTAATCTCATGTTATATATAATATCGTACTGTAATAGTAGTATTATGCTTGATATCTATAGTTATCTCTTTTAAAATTCTTAGTGTGTTTCTATCCTTTTTTGGTCTTTCTGACTTTATCAGAATAGGGAAATATACTGGAAATAACCATCAATTTAAAAAACTTTTTTATTTTTTAAAATTTATTTTTATTAAAAATTTTTTGAATGTTTTTCTTTATTTTTGGAGAGAGAGGGGGTGAGAGAGAGCGTGAGTGAGCTAACAGGGAGGGGCAGAGAGAGTGGGAGAGAGAGGATTCCAAGCAGGTTCCACATTGTCAGCACAGAACCCAATGTGGGCCTTGAACCTATGAACTGTAAGATCATGACTTGAGCTGAAATCGAGTCAGACACTCAACCAACTAAATCATCTAGGTGCCCCAACCATTAGTCAATTTTAATCATTCCTCATCATAGGCTGTTCTCTTATTGTTTAATGTTTCTTTTAAATGTTTCTCATTCTACTTTCCTTTTCTTCTTCATTCTTTGACCTCAGAATGGTCTGTCAGTACTCTCACAAATTTTCATAATTCATAGAATACTCTCTTAAAGAAGAGATAGGATGTTCTTTCACTGAAAACCTGAATTTAGCTACATGTTTTAAAAAAATGCCCTATTGATACTAAATAAATACTATCAGTGGTCTATGGATACTCTCAAACCAAGCTGTCCTAAAGGGAGTACATTTTTATGTACAATGCTCACCATCAACTGGTAGGTTTTGTGAAAAATCTTCAAGTTCTTCGTGTGATAGCTTAATCCCCATATTTCCCAGAAATGGGACCAGTTTATTCATAGCCACCTTTCCTCCTTAAGAGAGACAAATTATCATAAAAAGAACCAAGATGTAGAAAAATTCCTTACTAATTCATGGATATTATGGTTATCACTTTACTTATTAACTTTAAAGTCCAGTAAGAGCTAGTTAATGGTACAAGGAGGGCCAACATTAAAACTAGATCGAGAGTCTCATCCTCTGACTCCATCTTTTGTTCATACCAACATAGTGTAAGTTCTGAAAAGGCTGGGTTATTTCCCAGGGATCAATGGCATATATCACATATCCATTTAATATTGGGAAATACTTATGTGAAAATTTTAATGTAATAAAAATAAATCAGTGTATACAAAATAAGAGAATATCTCAGATTTATCTGCTTTCTCATCATACTTCTCACTCACTTTTAAGAGCCTTCACACCATCCTGCAACCTTTTTTGATACACCTTTCCTTCAGCTGTAAGAAAAGACATGATTCACAGTCAGAGAAAAATAATAAGGGAGATTCACCCAAACAATAAATATTCTACAATCTTCCCTTATTTCCATAATTTCAAAAAATAGATTTATATAATGATTTTTCTGAAGTGTATCTAATTTTCTCTCAAACAGTAACAAAGTTTAGAGAAATATTTTTAATGAGGCAAATTTTTTCACTTTTGCATAAAAGTCAAGAATTGTTGGCTTAACTCTCCACAATAGCTAAAACATGGAAAGAGCCTAAGTGTCCATCAACAGATGAATGGATCAAGAAGATGTGGTTTATCTATACCATGGAATACTACATGGCAATGGGAAACAATGAAATCTGGCCATGTGTAGCAACATGGATGGACCTTGAGGATGTTATGCTGAGCGAAATAAGTCAGGCAGAGAAGGACAAATATCATATGTTTGCACGTACAGGAGGATTAGGAGGAACTTGACGGAGGACCATGGGGGAGAAGAAGGGCGGAAATGGTGGGGGAGAGGGAGAGAGGCAAACCATGAGAGACTCTTGAGTGCTGACAAAAACTGAGGACTGATGGATGTGGGGGGGAGGGGGGATGGGCATGGAGGAGGACACTTGTGGGGATGAGCACTGAGTGTTATGTGGAAACTAATTTGACAATAAACTATTTGTAAAAAAAAAAAAAAAGAATTGTTGGCTTAAAACTTATAAAACATAGATCTCATTTGATTTATTTTTACCTCTGATTTCTTTCTTACATTCTTTATTCTTCCATTTTTACATCTTTCTACTAACTTTCAGGAATATTAATGGAACCCAGGACAATAATACACATATCTTATTGGCAAGATTAAGTGAAATAGCTACCAATTATCATAATAAAAATGAAATGACCCTGATTAAAACTAAACTTTTAGTTTTATTCTAAAATAATTATTTAAGAACTATTCTAAATAATTCTAAACGTTTTCAAAAATGATTAAAGAAAACAAAACAACCTGGTAACAATCTGATAGCATTTTAGAAGAAAATCTTATAGTACAGTAGTGTAAAGCCCCTTGAAGTATACATATATATTTAAAATTTTTTTTTAATGTTTACTTATTTCTGAGAGAGAGAGAGAGACAGTGTGAGCACGGGAGGGTCAGAGAGAGAGGGAGATATAGAATCTGAAACGGGCTCTAGGCTCTGAGCTAGCTGTCAGCACAGAGCCTGAAGTGGGGCTCGAACCCACAAGCCGTGAGATCATGACCTGAGCCAAAGTCTGACACTTAACTGACTGAGCCACCCAGGTGCCCCTACATATATATTTTAAGTCCTTACCATCAACTGGTAGATTTTTTACTAAATTAAAGTATTCCTTATCTGTGACCTCAACGTTCATGTCTTTCAGAGCACTGTCTATGTCACTGACATCAATTTGCTTTCCTAGAAAAGACAGAAATGGTAACAAAAAAGAATTTGAGAAGAACACAAAATTAGTGAGTTATTACAATCAAACACTATTAATTAGCAATATTTTCACTCATGTGCCATTAAGATAATTTCATGCGTATTAAAAATCACATATTCTGTAACAAACAAAAATTAAAATTTATTATCACCCTGACTGTCTTATAAACATATAAATAACAGAACAAACAATAATTTGGGTCTTTTCTTTACAAAATAGAAATTATAAGTAGTTCTCCTGATAGTTTGAAATTATAATTATGTTAGAGCAGTATAATGTTAGGCACATAAATCTAGAAAGGTACAAAAATTATATGCCTTATACGAATTAATAATTAATACTATATAAAAATACACATAATAATGCTAGTTATAAAGTATGTTTCAAAAACAGGGCCTCAGTCTTCCACAGTAATTTTGTTTTATACTATTTTTATGGTAAATAATCTTTTGATTATTATACTTTTATAACTTTAGAAAGGAAAAACAATTTTGGTTTAATTAAGTCTTTTGGTTTAAATAAGTGGAAAGAGAATCTCTGAAAGTTTACTGCCTAGAATCCTAAACTTTTAGTTCGTAAATTAGATATATTGCATATTTAAATGCATATGTCTAGTATGGATTTCTTTTTATTTATTCTGCTTAGGAGTCACTTGGTTCCTTTAGATTTACACTATTTATCTGTTCTGGAAAGTTCTCTTTAAATATTGCCTCTGTCTTCCTCTCTTTCTCTTTTCTTCCTAGGATTCCAAATAGACATATGTTAGATTTTCTTATCTATCTTCTGTGTCTCTTAACCTCTCTTTCATATTCCGCATTTGTCTTTTTGTATTATATACCTTGTAATTTCTTAAGTGCCTTAGTTCTTTCTTTAGCTATTTATAATTACTATTAAATCCTTCAAATGTTTTATTTATTTGTTTGTTTGTTTGTTTGTTTTTAGTGGCTGAATAATAGTCCATTGTGTCTTTTTTTTCCTTCCAAATTTTAATTTAAATTCTGGTTAGTTAACATATAGTGTAATACTGGTTTCAGGAGTAGAATTTAGTGACTCATCACTTCCATATAACACCCAGTCCTCACCCCAACAAGTACCCTTCTTAATACCCATCACCCATTTAGCCCATCCCCAACTCACCTCCTTCCATCAACCCCCAGTTTGTTTCTACCATTAAGAGTCTCTTATGGTTTACTTTTCTCTCTTTCCCCCCTCTTCATGTATGTTCATCTGTTGTGTTTCTTAAATTACACATCTCAGTGAAATCATATGGTATTGTCTTTCCCTGATTGACTTACTTCACTTAGCATAATGCACACTCTAGCTCCATCCAGATTGTTGCAAAGGGCAAGATTTCATTCTTTTTGATGGCTAAGTATATGTGTGTGTGTACACACACACACACACAAACACACACACAACATCGTCTTTATCCATTCATCAGTTGATGGACACTTGGGCTTTTTACATAGTTTGGCTATAGTGGATAAGTGAAATTAAGAGCTGGTTCTTTGAAAGAATTAATAAAATTGATAACTCCCTAACTAGACTTATCAGTAAGAGAATAAATAATATCATGAGTGAAAGAGGAGAGATTACAATCAACACCACAGAAGTACAAACAATATTAAACAATTATAAAATAATATTATGAAAAATTATATGCCAACAAACTGGAAAATCTGGAAGAAAGACAAATGTTTTAAATTTTTACTATTTTCATTTCTCAAAAGTCTTTTTTGTTCTTCATCAAATCATCTTGCTCTTCACTCATGTGTTCAAGCTTCTCTTTTAATTGTTAAACCATATTAAGCAAGCTTATTTAATAATTTTTGGTCTGATAATTCCAAAATCTAAAATCTTTGCTGATGTGCTAAATGTTCTTCATGATGGGTGTCTTACTCATGGTGGCTTGTTTCTTTGTATGTTTAATAATTTTAAACTATAAACTGCTCTTTATGTGAAATTCTTTGTTCTGAGAATGGGTATCCTTCAAGACAAGAGTCATATTGACATTCTGGATTATCAGTGCATGGGGTTAGGTGACACTTCGGGAGCATTAACACAGTGCATCAAGACTGTGCACTATAAGATCCACTGCTTTTTATAGCTTATCCCTTAATTCAGTAGCCTTGGCTATATCCTCCTTGCTTCAGAGAAATCGGAGTCTCTGAAGTTAGTCAAAACATATTCAGATCTCATATTAAGATCATATTTAAATCTGATGACACTGTATATATACAATTATACTCTCCACCGCTAACTGAAAATATCCAATATTGTTTTGACTAGTTGGTTACTAATTATGGACTACTGCTACTTTCTCTCCATATTACTATCTACTGGTGTAATGCTCTCAATCCAGTGACTCTATTCGCTTTACCCCATGGAGAAGAAGTAGAATTCTTATATAGAAATTAGAAATTATAATTTCTATAATTCAAGAAGCGTCCATCTCCTAAACAGATCATTTGGACACTTCAGCACCACACTATTATTTAATATTATTTGTTCATAGGTCTTGTCTTAAAAGTTTTGAAAGGGACCATAGTAGGCTAAATATGCAATAATTAGTTGGTTCAGTTCTCTTGAAAGATCCAAGTCCTTAACACACACACAAGATGGTTCAAGTGACTGAACATTGGCCCTTTCTAGAGATTTTAAATTGGTAAAATTAAATGATAGGTGATATGCTTTTATAGTAATTATTACTTGGTTCTTTGATACTGCCTAAAGAAATCGCTATCATAAAGGTAGAAGCTCACAGTAAAACAGATGTTATAAAGAGTAGAGAAAATGCCTTAGCAGATCATCTTACTAAATAGATTGTGCAGAAAAGAGTTAACATAGCAGGCCTAAGTCTGGAATCTTCAGAAGAGTCTGCTTGCCAGGTTGGTATTTGGCTGGCATCTGGGAACTGATAAGCCTAGGTCAATGTGCCTAGTCTTGTGCAACAATGCAATTTATGGTGAATATTTGTTTTTCTTCTGGGAGTCTGGTATATTGATAGACAGAGAGTGCCTATGTGAGAAGCCCCCAATAAAAAACCTTAGGCACTGAGTCCCTAATGGGCTTCCCTGGGCACACATGTGAAATGACATTTTTGCTACTGGAGGGAAATATGTTATGTTATGTGACCCCTCATAAGAAGGAGAGCATAGGAAGCCTTCACATCGATTTTTCTAGAAGCTGCCTATATATTTTTCTCTTAGTGATCCAGCTATATCCTTGGTATTTACTCTTTGCATTTTATGGTTCTATGGGTTTTGACAAATGCAATATGTCATGTATTTACCATTACAGTAACATACAGAACATTTTCACTGAAGTTAAAATAAAATTCTCTTGTGGCTCTCATATTCATCTCTCCTCCCTATGCCACCCCCTGTAAACTCCTGGCAATCACTGATATTTTTACTGTCTCTATAGTTTTGCCTTTTCCAGAATATCATATATTGGACTCATACAATATGTGTGTAGCCTTTTCAGACTGGCTTCTTCCACTAGGCAATACGCATTTAAGTTTCCTCCAAGTCTTTCTATAGATTGATAGCTCATTTCCTTTTATAATTGAATAATATTTCAATATGTGGAGGGACCACTATTCGTTTATCCATTCTTCTATTGAAGGATATCTTCTTTGCTTACAAGTTTCAGCAATTATGAACAAAGCTACTACAAGTATCTGTGTGCAGGTTTTTGTGTAGACATGTGTTCACCTCATTTGGGTAAATAGCTAATTTGTGACTGTTGGATCTCATTGTAAGATTAAGTTTAGCTTTGTAAGAAACTTCAAAACTGTCTTCCAAAGTGACTATACCATTTTGTATTCCCACCAACCATGAATAAGAGTTCTATTTGCTAGCCATTCTAATAGGTATGCAGCATTCTCTCATTGTTTTAATTTGCAATTTCCTAATGACAAATGATGTTGACCATCTTTTCATATCCTTATTTGCCATGTGTATATCTTCTTTGGTGAGGTAAATATTCAGATCTTTTGTTCACTCTTTTAAATGTTTATTTTTGAGAGAAAGAGATAGAGAGGGGGATGGGCAGAGAGAGATGGGGCAGAGGATATGAAGCAGGCTTTGCGCTGACAGCAGAGAGCCCAATGTGGGGCTTGAACTTATGAACCGTGAGATCATGACCTGAGCCGAAGTCAGATGCTTAGCCAACTGAGCCACCCAGGTACCCATGTTCAGTTTTTAATTAGGGTTGTTTTCTTATTGTTTAGCTTTAAAAATTCTTTGAATATTTTGGATATAAGTCCCTTATCAGATATGTGTTTTGCAAATATTTCTTTCCAGTCTGTGGCTCATCTTTTCATTTTTTAAAACTAAAGTTCTTCTTCTTTTTTTTTTTTTTTTTTAAAGTTTGTGTATTTATTTTAAGAAAGAGTGTGCTCACCCATGCAGGTAGGGGATGGGTAGAGAGAAAGAGGGAGAGAATTCCAAGCAGACTCTGTGCTGTCAGTGCATAGCCTGACACGGGTCTCCATCTCATGAATTGTGAGATCATGACCTGAGCCAAAACCAACAGTTGGATGCCACCCAGGCATCCCTAAACTAAAGTTCTCTTTGAATGACCTCTAATAGATAAGAAAAACACATGTAGGATCAGATTCAAAGATTCCATTATAGAGACACAAAATTTGAGTTCAATTTTGTAAAGAAATACTTGGAATGGTCCGGTTATAATATCCATGAGGATAAGATATGGCAAAGCCAGGATTGTTACCTACTTGAATCAGATACATTTCAAATTAATTACTTGTGAAAATTCCACATAAAGCAACATCATAATTTTGCCAATATTTGTGCAATTCCCTCAGTTGCTCAATCAGGTGCCCCAAACTTGCCACATTTAAAACTTATTAAGATATTTTGTACTATATTAGAGGATATCACCAATCCATGCCTCCTCTGAAATAAAAATAATTCTGGAAAATCTGTAACTATACCTTAAGGGACCATTGGGCATATCCAAATGGATTTTATATAGTTGCCTCTGAGTTATGGATATGTACTAATAATATTATGTTTATTTATTTATTTATTTTTAATATTTTTATTTATTTCTAGGAGAGAGAGAGACAGCGTGAACAGGGGAGGGTCAGAGAGAGAGGGAAATACAGACTCTGAAACAGGCTCCAGGCTCTGAGCTGGCAGTCAGCACAGAACCCGACGCGGAGCTTGAACCCGCGAACCTCGAGATCATGACCTAAGCGAAAGTTGGACGCTTAACCGACTAAGCCACCCAGGCGCCCCAATATTATGTTTATTTTCTGGATGGATTGAAACACTTTCTTGTCAAAAATCCATAGCACACATACTGGCTAGTAAACTTTTAGATATCCTGCTACCTACCTAGAACATCCCATCTTATCTATTCAATTACAAGGCAATATGTTTTCTTTTGGTAATTATTCATGATTATACAAGAAATTTTGTTTATTATTCAGAAACTTCACTGTCTTTTGAACACAAAAACTTCTGGGAAAATTTAAGAGACATTATCAGAATTGGAAAATTACGTTAGAGACCTCATATTGAGAGAGAGTCCAGAGAGAGTCCAAGAAGCAGGTGGTTCATGTTAGTCACCTGCTGACCCCAAATTCAAGATCTTCAGAACAAGTAGAAAACTGCATGAAGTAGAGTTTCATGCAAGATCATGAGAATAAGAAAACAGTTTGTCAGTGCTTTGTATATTTTTCAAATATTTTTATTTTTATTTTTGTCATATTTATTCTTTTTATTAATTATATACTTCTGATTTAGCCTATGATGATCTTCATGATCTCCCTTATTATAACCATTAACTTATTAAGGTTTAGGTTTTACTAGAGACAATCAGTTTGTTAGAGTTAGGACAATCTTAACTCTGTTACTCAGCCTTTTACTAGCAAACCAATTTAAAGAATTGATGTGGGGCTGACTGACAATTTCTGTGTATGAATTGTGCATGACTTTCCAATAGTCTTGATGGATCTTGTCTTCTTATAAAGAGTCTATGGGAATAGAAACTTTTATGGGGAAATAAATAATACCTAGTGGAACAGATTTCTAAGTATAATGTATTCCATCTACAATAATAAAAAACTTGTGGCTGAGTGAGTATATACTACAGTTAATGCCCTATTATTCAGTACAATAAGCCAGTTAAAATCCCTAGATAAATGACAGGATTTCCTTAAATTTTCTTTGACAAGAGGGGGATTTGCACCATTGTTAATAGTGGATATTGTACTTGGATTCATACTATAGATCCAATTTATCTAAGAAAAGCCAACTTGGAGGGAAATAGTGGGGTAGAGGGAGGGAGGCAAACCATGCGAGACTCTTGAATGCCGAGAACAAACTGAGGACTGATGGGTTTGGGGGGAGGGAAAGGGGGCGATGGGCATGGAGGAGGGCACTTGTGGGGATGAGCACTGGGTGTTATATGGAAACCAACTTGATAATAAACTATTAAAAAAAAAAAAAAGAAAGCCAACTTGGTTATGTAAGGTGGACCTAAGGCATTATTGGGAGTAGTTTTCTTTCAGCCCTAAGAAATACCAGACCATGATTCTAGACTGCTTTCCATTTCCTTCTTCTAATACCTTCAGCTGGTTTTGTCTGTCTCACAGCTGTTTGAGGTCTGCTTTTCAGAGTCTTAAATGCTTCTATGTAGCCACTGTATGTACAAATAATTAAACAAATAATTCACAGACAAAACCAGGATGAAACTATCTTGACATTCAGATGTCAGCTCATCTCAAGGAAAATCAACAATAGTGAAGGTCTGGACAGTCCCTGATGATCTCTTCTGTGGCTTCAGTTGAGTGAGGATCAAAAGGTGGAATTAGGAATAAAAACATTCTCACATTATGAAGAAAAGTCTGTTGCCATGGCTATAAGAGAACATTATCAAAAGAATACAAATTATGAAAAACAAAACAAAATGTATTTGTACAGTACCGCCTTCTATTGCTAGATGAAAAACAAAGACCTAAGGTCACTTACTGCATTGCATGGAGTGAATGTCAGACTTAAAAATATCATATTGTCCCTTATTTATAATACAAGGCAAGTCTTCATAATGTTGGAGGAAAATAATACATACAATAATATATAGTTAATATAACTGCTTAGAAAATTATGTTGATGACCTTTTCAAACAATTACATCTACATGTTATAACCTAAATTTTGAAATTCTTGTCTTATGTAAAGATCTAGTACCATTGTTGCAAAAGCACAGATTATTAAAAAAAAAAGGTTATCAATTATTTAATTAATGAAAGGTTAAAATAACAAAGGGATGGTAGAAAATATTTAAACAGTGTAAAGAATTAAGTAACTTTTCACTTACCTAAAACAGAACTCAATTCTTCCATCAACGTATTTAGTTGGACCTTCCCTTTATCTGTAAATCAAGACAAAATTTAGACACTGAGAAATCCAAACAAAAAAAAGAGCAAAGAGCATAAAATACTTAAATTATGAACAGAGTAGAGCCTAGAGGAAAGCCATTCACTATATCTTATCCTTTTACAATTTATAATTCTTGGGGCATCTGTGTGGCTCAGTCAGTTAAGTGTCCGACTTCAGCTCAGGTCATGATCTCACAGTTTGTGGGTTCGAGACCCGCATCGGGCTCTGTGCTGACAGCTCAGAGCCTGGAGCCTGCTTCGGATTCCGTGTCCCCTCTCTCTGCCCCTCCCCCCCTCGCTCTCTGTCTCTGTCTCTCAAAATAAAATAAAGACATTAAAATTTTTTAAAAATTTATAATTCTTGGAATTTAATAGATAGCTCCATTATCTGCAAGGGACACTAAGATTGTTTGAAATCATACAGTCTATTTAAATGTTCTCTCAAGTCTTTTGGATTCATTCTGTTTCTAACTCCATGTTTTTCTAGGAATGGCTGATAACACATGATTAGTATATATGTAAAACCATTGTTTGCAGAATTATGTTACTTTCTATCACTGGAGAAAGGCAAAGAATTTCAGGGAAATGAGCAATGAAGAACACAGTATCTCACATTTCATGATGTCGAGCCCTGCAACAGGCTCTGTGGTGACAGTGCAGAGCCTGCTTGGGATTCGCTCTCTCCTCTCTCTCTCTCCCTCTCGCTTCTCTCTCTCTCTGCCCCTACCCAGCTAAATGCACATGCATGCTCTCTCTCTCTCAAAATAAATTTAAAAAACTTAAAGAGAGAAACTGAAAATGGGAGTGTAGATGACAAATGGGTGTATTTGCTCAAGGAAATCTCCAGAGAGCATTGCTACATTAAATTAAAACACTGTTGGCCCATTTTTTTTTCCACGGAAATAAAACATTTAAGGTATATATATGTCATTTTTATTATTCCTTACGTTAACTAGATTTTTATATTATCTGATCTTGCCCCTGCCATGATACATAAAAAGATGTCACCATCCTAAACTGAAATGCATGAAATAAGTATAGGTTTGAGATAAAAGACTTGAAATCTTTTTTTTTTTTTTTTTGATGGAGAAAGGGAAACACTTTTATTTTTTTATTTTTATTTTATTTTGTTTTTTTAAAATTCTTTTTCTTAAATGGTTGATTGTCAAGTTGGTTTCCATATAACACCCAGTGCTGATCCCAACAAGTACCCTCCCCGATGCCCATCACCCCTCTTCCCCTCTCCTCCACCCCCATCAGCCCTCAGTTTGTTCTCAGCATTCAAGAGTCTCTCATGGTTTGCCTCCCTCCCTCTCCCCCACTATTTTTCCCATAATCACCCCCATGGTCCTCTGTTAAGTTCCTCCTAGTCCACCTATATGTGCAAACATATGGTATCTGTCCTTCTCTGCTTGACTTATTTCACTCAGCATAACACCCTCAAATTCCATCCATGTTTCTACAAATGGCCAGATTTCATTCTTTCTCATTGCCATGTAGTAGTCCATTGTATAGATGAACCACATCTTCTTGATCTATTCATCAGTTGATGGACACTTAGGCTCTTTCCATGTTTTGGTTATTATTGAGAGTGCTGCTATGAACATTTGGGGTACATGTGCCCCGATGCATCAGCACTCCTGTATCTCTTGGGTAAACTCCTAGCGGTACCACTGCTGGGTCATAGGGGAGTTCTACTGTTATTTTTTTGAGGAACCTCCACACTGTTTTCCAGAGAGGCTGCACCAGTTTACATTCCGAACAACAGTGGAGGAGGGTGCCCATTTCTCCACATCCTCGCCAGCATCTAGAGTCTCCTGATTTGCTCATTTTAGACACTCTGACTGGCATGAGGTGGTATCTCAGTGTTGTTTTGAGTTGTATTTCCCTGATGAGGTGGGATGCTGAGCATTGTTTCATGTGTCTGTTGGCCATCTGGATGTCCTCTTTGGAGAAGTGTCTGTTCATGTCTTCTGCCCTTTTCTTCACTGGATTGTTTGTTTTTGGGTGTGGAGTTTGGTGAGTTCCTTATAGATTTTGGATACTAGCCCTTTATCTTATATGTCATTTGTGACTATCTTTTCCCATTCCGTCGGTTGCCTATTAGTTTTATGGATTGTTTCCTTTGCTGTGCAGAAGCTTTTTATCTTGATGAGGTCCCAATAGTTCATGTTTGCTCTTGATTCCCTTGCCTTTGGGGATATGTCAAATAAGAAATTGCTGCGGTTGAGGTCAAGGAGGTTGTTTCCTGCTGTCTTCTCTAGGATTTTGATGGTTTCATGTCTCACATTCAGGTCCTTATCCAATTTGACCTTATTTTGGTGTGTGGTGTGCGTAAATGATGTAGTTTCATTTTTCTGCATGTTGCTGTCCAGTTCTCCCAGCACCATCTGTTAAAGAGGCTGTCTTTTTTCCATTGGATACTCTTTCCCACTTTGTCAAAGATTAGTTAGCCATACATTTGTGGGTCCAATTCTGAGTTCTCTATTCTAGTCCATTGGTCTATGTGTCTGTTTTTGTGCCAACATCATACTCTCTTGATGATTACAGCTTTGTAGTAGAGGCCAAAGTCTGGGATGGTGATGCCTCCCATTTTGATTTTCTTCTTTAATATTATTTTGGCTATTCGGGGTGAAAGACTTGAAATCTTAAACACATATGATTAAGTGGACTGATACAGGAAGAGTGTGGAAAGGACAAGAGACTGAATAGAACTGTTATATTACTATCATTTAAGCCAGTGATTTTCAAAATGTTTTATTGTAAACCATACTAAGAAACTGAGCATGCATGTGTGCGTGTGCATGCGTGCGCAGGCACACACACACACAATCATCAAGACTCATGAAACAATATCTAGCTTTACAATTTTATTTTATTTTATTAAAAAAAACTCAACCCACTAGTTTTAAGGGAGTAAGAGAAGGCTATAAGAAAATGAGTTTTGTGAATAAAACAAGGGTGCCCATTCTCACCACCCCTATTCCATACGATACTGGAAGTCTATGCTAGAGCAATCAGGTAAGGGGAGAAAAAGGCAACCAAAGAGGAAAGGAAGAACCATAATTGTCTTTGTTTGCAGATGATAGGATCTTATATATAGAAAGTCCTAAAGACTCCACCAAAAAACTGTTAGAACTAATCAATGAATTCAGTAAAGTTGCAGGGTACCAAATCAGCATAATGAAATCAGTTGCATTCTTATACACTAACAATGAAATGTCTGAAAAAGATATAAAGAGTAACATTCACAATAGCATAAAAAAACACCAAAATACTTGGGAATAAATGTGTTTGTCTGTCTGTCTATCTATCTACTTATAAGTAGGCTTCACAACCAGCATGGAGCCCAACGTGGGGCTTGAACTCACATCCCTGAGATCAAGACCTCAGCTGAGTCAAGAGTTCGACACTTAACTGACTAGCCACCCAGGCTCTCCTTTGGAATAAATTTAAATAAGGAGGTGAAAGATCTATATAATGAAAACTACAAAACCCTGGTGAAAAGAAATCGAAGAAGACACAAGCAAGCTGAAATATATATCATGTTCATGGGTCAGAAAAATTAATATTGTTAAAATGTCCATACTATGAAAAGTCATTTATAGATTCAATCCAATTCCTATAAAATTTTTGATGGTATTTTTTTCTTAAATAGTTTATTGTCAAGTTGGTTTCCATAAGTATTTTTTCATAGATGTAGAAAAAAATCCTTAAATTTATATGGAACCACAAAGGAGCAGCCAAAACAATACTGAGAGAGAAGAACTAGGCTGGAGGCATTGCCCTTCTTGATTTAAAACTATACTACAAGGCTCCTCAAACAGTATGATGTCCCATGAAAATAGATACATGGGCCAAGAGAACAGAATTGAGAGACTGGGAAAAAAACACTCACATATACAGCCAACTGTCAACAAGGCAGCAAGGAATACTCAATAGGGAAAGGATAGTCTCTTCAATATATGGTACTGGGACAAGTGGATAATCACATGCAAAATAAGGAAATTGTGCCATAATCTTATACCACTCACAAAAATGAACTTGAAATGGATTAAAGACTTATATGTAGACCTGAAAACTGTATAACTTCCAGAAGAAAACATAGGGGAATAAACTCCTTGACATGAGTCTTGGCAATTATTTTTTTAGATAGGACACAAAACACACAAGCAAAAAATAAAAAAATAAAAAAAGAAGAAGAAAAAGTTAATATGTGGGACTATATCACACTAGAAGCCTTCGGCACAGCAAAAGAAACAATCAACCAAATGAAAAGGCCACTTACAGAATGGGAGAAAATAACTGCAAACTGCATCTCTGGTAAGGGGTTAATATTCAAAGTATATAAGGAACATCTGATAGCAAAGCTCCCAAAATTCCATTTAAAAAACAGGCAAAGGAACTGAAGAGCCAACTTACCAAAGAACACACACAAATGGCCAATCGGTACATGAAAAGGTGCTCAGTATTACTAATCCTCAGGAAAATGCAAATCAAAACCATAATGAGATACCATGTCACATGTGTTCAAATGGCTATCATCAAAAAGATAAGAATTAATAAATGCTGGTGGGGATGTGGAGAAAAGGAAACAATGTTCACTGTTGGTGGGAATATAAATTGGTGCAGCCATTGTGGAAAACAGTATAGAGGTTCCTCAAGAAATGAAAAATAGAGCTACTATATAACTTAGCAATCCCACAGCATATGAATTAAAATCCACTTTGAAACAGGATTTCAAAAAGATAGCTGCATTCCCATGCTCATTGAAACATTAATCACAATAACCAAGATATGTGTCTGTCAGCTGATAACTGGAGAAAGAAGATGTGGTATATTATATACGGTAGAAAATAATTCAGCCATGAGAAAGAAGGAAATCTTGCCATTTGTGACAACATGGATAAACTTTGAAGGCATTGTGCTAAGTGAAATAAGTTGGACAGAGAAAGACCAATATTATATGATGTCACTTATATGTGGAATCTAAAAATGCTGAACCCATAGAAACAGTAAAATGGTGGTCACGAGGGGCTAGGGGAGGAGGTAGGAAAGTGGGGAGATGTTAGGTAAAAGGCACAAACTCCCATTTCTAATGTAAATGATTTCTGAGAATATAATACACAGTTGTGATTATAGTTAATAACACTGTATTACCTACTTGAAAGTTCCCAAGAGAGTAGATCTTAAATGTTTTCACCATAAAAAAAAAAAGATAATGATGTGATGTCACAGGGGTGTTAGTTACGGCATAATCATTTTGCAATATACAAGTGTATCAAATCAACGGGTTTATATCTTAAACTTACGCAGTATTGTGTGTTGATTATCTCAATAAAGATGAAAACAATAAATACCTCTTAAAAAGTACAGGGGTAATGTCAGTGCTCACCATCATCTGGCAATCTTTCTATCAGATCCATGAATTCTTCTTCTGTGATGCTGATTCCCATGTTTTCTAAAAGAGTGTCCAGCTTATTGACATCAACATTGCCTCCTAAGTAACGAGTAGGAAAGAAATATAGTAAAACAACTTTTCTAAAACTGGACCATGCATTCACTCTGCTGTGTTATTATTCCTCTTTATCAAGCATATGTTTTATTATAATAAGGAACATTTCACATATTTCTTAGTACTATTGTTAAGATTTTCAAGGCAAATACCAAAAATCCAGTTTTGTTCAGTTAATAGGAGAATAAAATTCCTTTCAATTTTATGTTGGGATTCTGAAAAGTCAGAGCTAGAGGTGACTCACATAATATTCTATAAAACGACAGGTATTTTTGTTGCCTATACTGTCAGATTATTTGCTTCTGCTTTTGATTGAAATCTTTATCTGACAGCATTCATTCTTCACCGTTTGCTTCATATTTTATTTTGTTTCTTTGAGGCTGTTAGGAAAATCCAAGACAGTTTAACACTTTCTGTAAAATATTAGTACAGGAAACTACTTGGTTTACCTGATAAAATGTAGATCTACTGAAGAAAGCATAAATAAAGACACAATTGTATAGGAAAGGATGATTCCTGTTTTAACAACACAACTAAAGGTTTCAGACTCAGGCTTTTCACAGTGCTTCTTACTCACGTTTGAGAGACTTTATGCCCTTCATCAACCTTTTCTTGTACACTTTTCCATCAGCTATAAAAAAAATGGGATTTTTGAAAACAGAGTCAGAAAGAAAGAATTTTGAAATCTTTGAGTAAGGAACATTTCAAATTACAAACAAAAAAATAGATATACACAATATTTGCTCTCAGTGGTAAAGGAGTAAATTGCAAATCATAATCATGAGATACTTTTTTTTTTCCTGAGAATGTATGGACAATACCATTCTCAAATACAGTTTGTGGGAGTTCATACTACAAATACTCTAGAAGGAAATGTGAGAAGACAAAATATCTTCCATTCTGCAACTCTACATAAAGGAATTTAATCTCAAAAGATTTCAGAATGTTTGCAAAGATTTATCCACAAGGTTGTCAAATAAAAAAAGGACATATATTCAAAGATGGAAAACTGGAAAAATATACATCAAATTTTTCACACTAGCTATGGCTTTGAGTTAGGAATAGAGATGTTTTATTTTCACCTATCTACATTTTCAAGATTTCTACAATATATACACATGTTACCGCTGTGAAGAGAGAAGAGTTATAAATAAATAAATATATACATAAATATTATCTATCAATTTATCATCTACTGAGCACTAGAAGGAAATGTATGACAATATTAACAATGGGTATCTTTGGGTTATGGGATTAAAACCATTTTTTAATGAAATTTTGTGCTTGTATTTAATCTAATGAGGAAGTTAAGAACTGTGGCCTTTTCTCAATGTACAAAATTACCCACTTATTGGTAAACTATATAGTCAATGCTGCAAAAACACAACTACATTATTAGTTGGTGCTGGGAAAACTGGACACCTTCCTCTCCTTTTTTCCTTTTTTAAAAAAAGTCCTTTTTTACAAATCCATTTGATCAGTAATCTGAAGGCTGAGTAATGAACTTTGCCTTTGATAGCAACTTATAACTGAAGAGAGTTAGACTGATGATTTTTAAAGCAAAATCTAAGTGATGAGACTTTTCTTTGTATTTGCATTAGCTTTTTAACAGTTTTTAAGCATTTTTAGTTTATTTTGTAATTTTTCACATAGTTCTACAAAATTAGGCTTTCTAAAAAACCAAGATAGCACCACCCATTAGACTCACCATCAGGGGCACCTGGGTGGCTTGGTTAGTTAAACATATGACTTCAGCTCAGGTCATGATCTCACGATTTGTGAGTTCGAACCCCACATTGGGCTCTGTGCTGACAGCTCAGAGCCTGGAGCCCCCTTCAGATTCTGTGTCTCTCCCCCTCCCCCCGCCACCCTTCCTATGCTCATACTGCCTCTCTCTGTCTCCCAATGATAAAAAGGCTGAAAAACATTAAAAAAAAAAAAAGACTCACCATCAAGTGGCAGTGTCTTCAGAAAGTTCAAATGTTCATTAGGTGTGAGCTCAAGTCCCAAATTTTTAAATACACTTTCAAGTCTATTGGCATCAACTTTGTCTCCTTTGAAAGAAGAATGGATTATTGACACATGGAAATGTGGCATTATAATGATCCAAAGTAATGAAAAAGCTGGCTTAGAGAACACCATCCTCACTTTCATATTCCCATATATTCCAATAGTGCTTAAGAATAATGAGGCGGAACTTATTCCTTGATTCTTCATAAAGACAGAGAGGTCCCCTAAGACTAATGGTAAGACACCATAAAAGAAAATCAGGTTATATAAGTAGCCAGTAATTTAGGACATCTAATCTTTTTTCTTTTTAATGTTGAGTTGATTATTACTTAAAGCAGAATATGTTCTAAAATTATTCACCTTCCTGTATTCTGTGCCTGCCTATTCAAGCCAGCAGTCATTAACTCAGAAGCTTATAGGAGCTGAACCCTAGAAGAAATGGGTGAAACTGTCACATGCCTTGTCCAAAGAGAAAATACACCAGTTATTGTGGTGAGGAAATGCAGGGCCAGTGTTGTCAGATTTTACAAAACTTGACTGCAGATTGGATTCTTAAAGTAATGGGTGGCCCATTTGTTAAACCTCTGATTTAAACGCTGGTTAAGATCAGTATAACACTGGTAGAAACTACCAAAAATATAATTATTACTTAAAATCACCATTTTCTTTTGTAGTCCAACGCTAGAGAATACAAAGTCAAAAGTGGAAGTAAAGTTGAATGTAAATATTTCATTAAAAATATGTAAAATATCAACATTAATAAATTTATGATATAATATTGGGAAAACACTATACAAAATATAACATAGGGTTAGAATTTAATTAAAAATGTTTAAGTAATGGCATACTCACCCGAAAAATATTTCACTTCATTCATCAGTTTTTCCAGATCAACTTTACCTTTACCTGTAAAACAAAGAATAAATTGGATAGAAACATGACAATGAAACCAAAAAATGTGTTGCATAGAGCAGAAAAATGTAGCAGTATTTATTTGTTCTAGAAAATTTAACCTTTTTCAGGTACACACTTTTAGTTACAAAATAAGTCATGAGGTTGTAATACACAGCATGATGACTATAGTTAATATTGAAATACTAATATTTGAAAGTTGCTAAGAGAGTAGATCTTAATTAAAAAATTTTGTTTTTCTTTGAGAGAGAGAGAGAGAAAGAGAGAACAGGCAGGGTAGAGGGGCACAGAGAGAGAGAGAGAGATGGAAGGAGAGAAAGAATCTCAAGCAGGCTCCAAGCTCAGGGTGGAGCCTGATGCGGAGTTCAATCCCAATACCCTGGCATCATAAGCTGAGCTGAAATCAAGAGTTGGATGTCCAAACGACTGAGCCACCCAGGCACCCTGAGAGATCTTAAAAGTTCTCATCATGATAAAAAATATTTGTAACTGTATGGTGACAGATGTTAACTAGATTTAATATGGTAATCATTTGCAATATATACAAATATTGAATCATTATGCCTGAACTAATATAATGTTATATGTCAGTTATACCTCAATATAAAAAATACAAAAACTGGTTTCACACACACACACACACACACACACACACGTGCACACACACTAAAACTTGACTTTGCTACACCTTTCGTAAGAAGGTAGAAGAGGAAAGACGTCAGCTTGAATGATAATAAGTACAATTATTTTCTGAAACAAGTAATATTCCAGCATTTCCAATGTATTATGCTCAGGGAAGCTAAGTGGCTAATTCTTTTCATTTAGTTTCTGAAGAGAAAACTGCTTTATTTCCCTGCAGTAAAATAATGATCCATGTTGATGAGAAAATCTAGCTATAACCTAGAAAACATTGTGTAAAGCATATTCATGAATTCAACAAACTTGTTTTTGAGTGTCCACAAATACTCACAAAATGACCAGAAAAGTGCATCAATTACCAGTAATGTTGCTAATTCTGTGGTGAGAATTTTTGGACCTTATTCTTTATCTATTAAAGTATTCTTAGTCACTAATGACTTCTGCATCAATACCAACTAAAGGTCAAGGCAAAATGGAAAATGTATGTTGGTTTACCTGGGTCATTATAGGTAACCAAGATTATCATGAAAAATGGACAGGATCCTTAGAGAGGATTACAATTTTTGGCCTGGCTTTGTAAATGGGTCACTGTGGTTATCCATTCACCTTTTCCTTTGCCCATCTGGCTTATTACTGGCAAAAATCTGACCCAAGATGAAAGGGCTATCTGCCATAGGCTGTCTAACTGAGAGGGAGTTCTGTTCCATTAAAATATTCCAAGTTCATCTCAGCAGAGGAGGAATCTATGAGTAAGAATTAGAACATCTGCGTGACAGGGGAAAAATTTTAAACCAAAGTTGATCATTTTCCTTTATTTATAATGTTGTTCTTACTCTTCTGTATTTACTTTAATAAAAATTTTGGAAGGGCTTCTGTGTACATGGAGACTGGAACATGGCTCATATCCTTTTACCTACCACCTCAAAGCTGTTTGCCTTTGAAATTCAAATGTTGCTGGTCTCTCTAGGCTGCTAGGGCTATGTCAAACCTTCAGCTCTGGCTGTGTCATGGAGAAAGAATGGGCATGGGATTCTTTCCCCTCTCAACTAGGGAAGCACCAGAGAGGTGTCAGAGTGCAGGAACAGAACTAGAAAGTAGTAGGTCTGGGGAAAAGCTTGGCATTCAGAATCCTGAAGACCCTGATGAAGATCAGTAAAGGCTAGCATGAGGGCATGCCTCCTCTGACTCTGAAAAGAGCAAGAAAGAAGAAAACAGGTAGGCAGAAATATTTATGCTCCTGAGGTGGTGGAAATACAAAAATACCTGAACAGATGCTTCCTTCTTTTCTAGAAGTTTGAAAGTAATCTGTTATGGAATATGTCATATTAAGTGCTAAATAAAGATCTTGAAATAGAAAGGAAATTATTTAAGATAGTTTTATTATTGTAATTGAGAGAGAGAAACACACACACACACGCACACACACAGAGCAAGCGAGCAGAGAAGGGGCAGGGGGAGAGGGAGAGAATCTTAAGCAGGCTCCAGTCTTAGTGCAGATCCCAATGTGGGGCTCCATCTCACAACTTTGAGATCATGACCTGAGCAGAAATCTAAAGTTGGATGCTTAAATGAATGAGCCACCCAGGCTCTAAGTTTTATGCATTGTTTGTGGGAGTTGAAAACGTATAGTTGGAGAAGTAAGGATATTCCCAAGATCTCATGGTGGGGAGTGGAGGAAATGATAGGAGGAATAAGTCTTCTAAAAGTTTGCACTTATTGGGATTGTGTGGGGGTGAGAGGGAAGGGATAAAAGTGAAATGAAATATTTGCTGGGAAAGGCTGTCTTGATGGAGAATAAAGTAATATTTTGTTGCCAGTAATAGTTATTATATGTAAGTATGACAGTGAATGGGAGGAAAAGGAATGTAAGACTTAATGAAATGTGACCCTCCTCTGAAACTTTAAAATTGATTAGAAAGAAAATAAATATAATAAATGACAACTTGAAGAAACCAGTGATAATAAGCATAAGAAAAAAAACAATAGAAAATAAATAATAAACGTTAAAGAAGATTAAATAAATTAAATTAAATATATCCAGTGTTACACCAAATATGAACAAATTGAAATTTCTCATTAAAAAAGGAACAATAGGTGCATCTTGGCAGCTCAGTTGTTTAAGCTTCAGACTTTGGCTCAGGTCATGATCTCACAGTCTGTGAGTTTGAGCTCCGCATTGGGGTCTGTGCTGACAGCTCAGAGCCTGGAGCCTGCTTCGGATTCTGTGTCTCCCTCTCTCTCTCTCTGTCCCTCCCATGCTTGCACTCTTTCTCTCTCAAGAATGAATAAACATTAAAAAAAAAAAAAAAAGGAACAATTGTCAGATGGGTTCCTTAAAAACTCAGCTATATGATGATTTCACAAAATAAATTTCAACCAAATGATAAAGAAGATAGAAAACAGAGGAGTGGGCAAAGATATATGAGGGATATATACAAGCAAAAAGCCATTGTTTCCTTGAGTTTCTGCTTAGATGATATGTTCATTGCTGTAAATGGGGTGGGTGTTGAAGTCCCTTACTATTATGGTATTATTATCAATGAGTTTATGTTTGTGATTAATTGATTTATATATTTGGGTGCCTTCATATCGGGGGCATAAATATTTACAATTGTAATATTTTGGTGGATAGACCATTTAATTATGATATAATGCCTCTCTCCATCTCGTTACAGTGTTTATTTTAAAATCTAATTTGTCTGATATAAGTATGGTTATTCCAGCTTTCTTTTGATGACCACTAATATGATAGATGTTTCTCCATCCCCTTACTTTCAATCAGGCGGTGTGCTTAGGTCTAAAATGAATCTCTTGGGAGCAGCATATAGATGGGTCTTGTTTTATCTATTCTGTTACGTTTTTTGACTGGAGAGTTTAGTCCACTGACATTTAGAGTGAGCACTGCAAGATATGAATTTAGAGCCATGCAGTTGCCTGTAGAGTTGGTGTTTCTGGTGATACTCTCTGGTCCTTTCCATTCTTTGTTGCCTTTGGTCTTTTGTTCTGTTTTGTCTTTTCTCCATTCAAAGAGTCCCCTTAAAATTTCTTGCAGAGGCTGGTTTACTGGTCACAAACTCCTTAAATTTTGTTTGTCTGGGAAACTCTTTACCTCTCCTTCTATTCTGAAAGACAGCCTTGCTAGATAAAGAATTCTTTGCTGCGTATTTTTCCAATTCAGCACATTGAATATACCCTGCCACTCCTTTCTTGCCTGCCAAGTTTCTGTGGGTAAATCTGTTGTGAACCTGATCTGTCTTTCCTTATAGCTTTAGGACTTCCCCCCTCCCCCTTGCTGCTTTTGTAATTCTTTCCTTGTCTGTGTATTTTGTGAATTTGACTATGATATGCCTTGTTGATGATCCATTTTTGTTGAATCTAATGTGAGTTTTCTGTGAGTCTTTGATTTTGATGTCTGTGTCCTTCCCCAGATTAGGAAAGTTTTCTGTTATAATTTGCTGACAAATTATACCTTCTGTCCCTTTTCCCCTTTCTTCATCTTCCGGGACTCCTATGATACATACATTATTCCTTTTTCATAAGTCACTGAGTTCTCTAAGTCTAGTATTGTGCTCTTTTGCTTTTTTTTCCTGCTTCATTATTCTCCATAGTTTTGTCTTATATATCGCTGATTCACTGTTCTGCTTCATCTGTTTTTGCTGCTGTGGCATCCATTTGAGATTGCATCTCATTTATAGCATTTTAATTATGTCCTGACTAGATTTTACTTCTTTTGTCTCTGCAGAAAGGGATTCCATGCTTTTTTCAACACCAGCTGTTTTTATTATCATGGTTCTAAATTCTAGTTTAGACATCTGTGTTGATTAAACCCTTGGCTGTCGTTTCTTCTTGTTATTTCTTTTGGGGTGAATTCCTTTGTCTTGTCATTTTAGGGAAGAAAAATTAATTCAATGAAAAATTAAAAACAAAACAACATATCAAATGAAGAAAGCTAGATTTTAGGTGTGTTTTTGTCTGCTTCTTGAAAGAAGCTTGATGGAATAGAGAAAAAAAGGCAAAGAAAAGAAAGAAAAAAGGTAAGAAAAAACTTAAAAAGTAAAAAATTTATATGATAAAATAGAATTATAGAAAATGAAATAGAATAAGATATCTAAAAAAATAAAGTATAAAAAAGAAAATAACAATAAACTTTTCTCTTTCTGCATCCAAGAAAGAGGAAAAAAAGAAAACAATTTAAGCAAAAAAGGAAGCAAAGAAAATGAATAAATGAACCATAAGACAGAATGAAACCTGAATGAAGTTATATCCACTTTTCCCTAGAACTGAAACTATAAAGTATGAAGTCCTCTGTAGCCCATAAAATAAACAGGTGGAGTGACTTGTGCTTGTCTTCCAGGAGACATGCTTGGAAGCACAGTTGGGTGGGGCTTGGTATAACACTCTGTTCTTCATTAGGTGGCAGCTTACTGGGGTGGATCAGTGTGGTAGGCATGTGCATGCATGGGAGAGATGGAAATGGCTTCACCCAGCCCCCTAGTCTCTGGCATAGGAACTTTGTGCTGTCACTGACCCACAATCAAGCATCCTCCTTTGTCTCAAGTCTTTCTCCACTCCGTCTCTACCCAGTCCATGTCCAAGCTGTCCACCTACCAGGCAGCACCTCCCTCTAGAGTTTTATCTCAGATGGGGTTGTCTTTCAAAACCCCATGCTTCAGGGACTCCTGAGGCTTGGACCCGCACCAACACTCTGGGGGAGGGTCTCACTGAACAACATCCCGATGCTGCCTTGCCCCAGAAAACACGTGTGTGATTGCACAGTGGCAGAAGTTCAGAGATTATGGCAAACCACAACACACAGCTGGCACCAGGTTTCACTGCACTCTGGCATCTAATGCCAGCAAACGTGGCTGCTCTCCAGGGTCGATTGGAACTTTTGCCTATGAGGAGGCCATATGGCCTCTACCAAGGGAAACTGCTTCTTTCTATTGTCACATGTACCCCTCAGATCCCACTGCCTGCCTCTGGGGATTTGTCCTACTTCCTCACCAGAGCACCTCCAGGCACTGATCTTCAGAACTTCAGACTCTGCATTCCACTGTTTATAGAATACTGGTAGTACTGAAACCCTTTCTTTTCTTCCCATCAATAATTTTGGGAAACAGATTTCTTGTTCAGTCTCCTGTGAGTGTTTTCACTCTTTCTCTCTTTTTCTCTCCAGCTACTTTAGGGAGAGTGTTTTTCTTCCATGATCCCGATGCACCACACACACACTCTCTCTATCTGTCCTATCTCAGCAAAAACAGCTCCGTACCCTCTGTGGCTTTTCTTTCCCTCAGTTCACTTCTCTTCACTGTGTACCTGCTGAGTTCTGTGGCTCAAGTTATGCAGATTGTTATGTTAATCCTTAGATCAATTTCCTAGGTGTTCAACATGGTTTGGTGCTGATCTAGCTGCACTTGAGGGGTGAGACAAGCTCAGGTCCCATGCTGCTCTACCATCTTAATTCCCAGCAACATAAATAACCGACACAGGCAAAATCAGATGAATCTAAAACATACACTAAGTAAAAGAAGCTGTAGCAGAACATATTTTTCAAGGATGGCTGAGATAATAGTTTGCCCCCCTCCACCTGATCTTATTACAGTGTGACTAATTCATCTCCCACCAAAAGCTTAGATTGAATCTGGGCAGGGACTTGTGATTGCTTCAATAACAGCATTTGGTGGAAGGGATGCTCTGTGACTTCTGTGACTTCACCTTAGTTACAGATTTAGAGAAGAACTGTTTTAAGTTGCCTGCAATAGACTTTTCCTCATAGGACCCATGTGAAAGTGAGAGACAGAAAGACAAATACTGAGATGGCTGCTGTGTAGTGCAGGGATACTCTCACCATATTAAAAAAGAAAAAAAAACCATTACAGATAGCCATACATATATTAAGTACCCTTTTTATAAATACTGGTGTCACACATTAGCAAATATGGCTAAAGAGTTCAACTGTAATTTGAGCAAAACCTATCAATTCTCACTAGAAAAAAGAAAGGTTGAGAGAAAAAGTCAAGTTATCTTGAAATCCTTCTCTAGTTTGCATTTGAAACCAGCAACATACAAGATGCATTTTTTCTTTGGACCCGAGTTTTTTCCCTAAGATTTTCAGAATGCCTTCTTGATGTCAAACAAGCATTTTTAATGATTGTTATAAATAGGCTCATAAAAGTAGCTTTTCTGGAGTGTTCAGTGGTATTTAAAATGCTCACCATTAACTGGCAGATTTTGCATTACATCTTTAAGCTCCTTTTCAGTGAGGACCATGCCCATGTTTCCCAAAACTTCATCCACTTTACTGGAATCAATCTTCCCTCCTTATAGAAAAAGAAGTACACAGGTAAAAGTTAATGTCCCTAAAATGTGGGATAAATTCCCACCTCCAGAGGATTATAGTTATCATGTTCATCCAAAAAAAAAAAAAACCCAAAGCCTGATGAGATCTTTACAAAAGGTCAGAGTCAATAATAAGAGCTCAAGTTAGAGCTTATTGTTTTAATTTTAATCTTAATGTATGCATGCCCAGTATAAACACTGAAAGGTGACAGAATGAATCCTAAGAGAATTCTAGTAGGGTGATCATAATTCCAGTGTTTCTAACTACTATTATCCCATTTCATTGCATTCATTTTTACAATGAATGTCTAGTTATGTTAAGGGATGCTGTTTTTCCATTACCATTAAATTTTTTAAAAAATTTAACTTAAAAATTAATCAATTTCAATGAAGATATTAATAGTAGTACAAATAGTATGTGGATGTGGCAGACATCATGAAGGTGGTATTGGGAACCTTGCTTAGACATGACTCTTCTCCTTGGCCTGTTCCCTGTCTATCTACTCAGTCCTATGTTCTTTCAATTTCTTGGAGACTTTCTAGCACTATCTTGTTCTCTCTCTCTTTTGGTATAAATGTCAGATTAGTAGTCTCTTGATGCTGAAAAAACTAACTGAAGAGGTGCTACTTTTCCCTTTACTTTTGCTATGTAGCCTGGGCTATGATAATTTCTTCTGTGTCAAAGTTGAAAAATCCCAGAAAAATCATGGGAATTCTTTCCAAGTTACAACATAAAAAGTGATCTCCTAAAGAACATGTTGATCTATAAAATAAGCAAAAATATATAATAATGTGTTAGGTGGCAGCGCTTATAATTTAATCACAAGGAATGCCAAATGTGATGATCTCAGAAAGATTTGTGTTTTGTTAAGTTTCTCCCTTACCTTTAAGAAACTTTATACCATCCAGCAGCCTTCTTTGATAGACTTTTCCATCTGTAAGGAAAAGGACTCTTCAGAACACAGAAGAACAATGTGGAGTGTCATTACTGTCTAGTAAGAAACAAGCAATTCAGGAAGACATCTTTTATGAACTGCCTTAGAAATTTTCTGATTTAGTGGCAAATAAAGCAATTGTAGGGGATGGGGATTCTGACAAAATATCTTTTACTTTTCTTTTGTGATATTTTCATTTTCCCCTATTAGATCATTCCCTTCTCTTTTTCTCATTTACTCTGGCTTAAATTTTAGATCTCTTGATAGATTCAAAAGTTATAAGTAATATAATTGAATCCTGATGATAGGAGTCATGGTGATACAACAGTTACTTCTCAAACTAAAGACAAATTTGGCACAGATAAATTTTTAACATATAATAGAGTCATTTAAAATTATGTAACATGAAACATAAAATTATTTCTGACAAGCAATAAGATAGAGACAATTTTAGAAGTTTTCACAAGTTAACAATACACTTCCCTGGATGACTCCATTTTTATTTGAAATACTCACTATCAACTGGTAGATTTTTCACCAGGTGTGAGAGTTCTTTATCTGTGAGTTCTATTCCCATGTTTCCTAGAACTGTTTTCATGTCATTGACATCAATTTTCTCTCCTTTAAAAGGATAGAAACGATAACATGTGAGATTTTAAAGAGGCATCGAATTATCCTAAATAATAATGAAATCTCTTATTACTGTTTAATTATTAGCACCAACTACTCAATGCATAATAAAGGCAAATGAGTCCTGTTTGACTGCAGTTATGGCAGAATATTAAAGTGTTTCTTTCAGGGCGGAAATGGTGGGGGAAAGGGAGAGAGGCAAACCATGAGAGACTCTTGAATGCTGACAAAAACTGAGGACTGATGGATGTGGGGGGGAGGGGGGATGGGCATGGAGGAGGGCACTCTTGGGGATGAGCACTGAGTGTTATGTGGAAACTAATTTGACAATAAACTATTTGTAAAAAATAAATAAATAAATAAATAAATAAAGTGTTTCTTTCCATAACTTTAGTAATAATAGAGACAAAATGACAGAGGGCATAATAATGCAGTTCATAATTTTCTGTTGTGGGAGGTTACCAGCAGGTAATAAAACTTTAGTCTCTTTTTATTGCACTCATGTATTTTTGGTAAAAATCTGGAATAAATGAGATTATAGGGCCTAACAAAATATGACACTATGTTTTGTTGTTAAAGCATTGACAAACTAGAGAAAGACAAATGCCTCATGGTTTCACTCATATGTGGAATTTAAGAAACAAAACAGATGAACATGGGGAAGGGGAAAAAAGAAAGAGGGAGGCAAACTCTTAATTAGAGAGAACAAACTGAAGGTTGAGGGAGAATGAACTGAGGTGGGCAAGGGATGGGCTAAACTGGTGATGGGTGGGCACTTGTTATGATGAGTGCTGAGTGTTATATGCAAGTGATGATGCACTAAGTTCTACTCCTGAAACCAGTATTATACCATATGTTAACTAACTAGAATTTTAAAAAAAACTTTAAAAAACCAACTGACAAACCAAAGTCCAGGAAATCAAATTACAATCAGTTTATTAAAAATTATACTTAATTTATTATTATTATTTAATGTTTATTTATTTTGAGAGAGCGAGCAGGGGAGGGGCAGAGAGAGAGGGAGAGAGAGAATCCCAAGCACTGCACTGTTAGTGCAGAGCCCTGATGCAGGGCTTATGAACCATGAGACCATGACCTGAACCAAATTTGAGAGTCAGACATTTAACTGAGCCACCCAGGTGCCCCAAAATATCATAATTTAAAAGGAATATAAAGTAACAGGAAAGAATATAAAGTATGTGTAAAGAATCAGAATCATGTATTTGGTAACTTCCTCCTCACCTGTAACAGCTTCTACCTTATCCATTAGTTTTTTCAGATCGACTTTCTTAGAGGCTGTAAGACAAAGTTAGAGAATAACAATAACATGAACTCAGAAAAAAAGACACATAGGACAAGAGTTGATTTTTACCTAAGATTTATTGTTCCAGATGATGACCAAGGAAAATAAAATCATTTACAATGAGGACCAAGATTTAATAATAAATAATGAATAAAAAAGATCTTGAAAGGTTTTATTAAGTAAGATGAAAACTGTGAAGGTTTACTTTATCTAATATTTAAGAAAATTCAGGTTATAATTATTCCATAATTCTTAGAAGAAACAATGAATCAATGCTGACTTTTACAAGTGTGTTGAGATATGACTTTTCTGAGAAAATTAGGTTACTGTACATCACAGCAGCCTTTTGAACTTTAAAATGAGACATATAAAAATACTACACTTGATCTTAGCCAAAAGGCCAAGAAGCGATTGAGACATATAAAAATAACCTTTACCAAAATGATTGATTTTTTTCCAAGGGCTTCTTTAAAATCTTTTGAAATTCAAATCAAAATGTATGTTGAATGTCCTATCATGTACAATTTTTCTTCTTCAATTATTAAACATTCTAATTCTTCCAGGTCTCCATTCATTAGTGGCTTTGTGTGATTTGAGTAGTCCTTCAACCTACTTTTGCTCACTTTTTAAAATTATGTATCTCTCAGTATTTTCTAGGATTGTGATCTTGTGTTACCACGTGTTGATGCAGTGGTCAGATAGAGACCAGTGTTAAGCAGTGAGGGATATGTGATAGGAGCTAATTACTTAAATGGTCAATTTAGTGATCCACTGAACCTAATGGGTAGATAAGAACACAGCCAAAATCCTATCATTTTACCACACCATTTGTATTCAGCTTAAAAAAATTTTTGTAATGCTTATTTATTTATTTATTTATTTATTTATTTTTAAATTTTTTAAAATTTTTTACTGATTTATTTATTTTTGAGAGAGAGAGAGAGAGACACAGCGTGAGCAGGGGAGGGTCAGAGAGAGAGGGAGACACAGAATCTGAAACGGCTCCAGGCTCTGAGCTAGCTGTCAGCACAGAGCCCGACGTGGGGCCTGAACCCACAAGCCATGAGATTATGACCTGAGCCGAAGTCAGACGCTCAACTGGCTGAGCCACCCAGGTGCCTCTATTTTTGACAGAGAGAGAGAGAGAGAGAGAGA